CGAGCTCACTCAATGACTACTTTTGAACCTCGTTTTGCCATCTTACACTCTTTCGTACTTGGATTGTGGACCTTTGGACTGCACAGCTTCTCTTCCTGCTTATGCATGTGCCAATCCGTAGCCTCGTATGTTGGAGATCTGATGACCTCAAGGTGGGGTTCGTTGAATTGAGCAGTGCTCAAGAGCTCGGGACCTGACGAGGCTCTGCTTCCTTAACAATCTTGCTACCAGCCGCCAGAGTCTCTATTGTACCCTTCGGATAGCGCTCTTTTCGAATCACACCCCCTCTCTGAGCACTTGGCGTTCGAGCTTCCGTTGCCCATTGAAACGAGCTTCCTTGCATCTTCTTATCGAGCCGAAAACTGACGTCATATTTCCGTTTCCGATCCTCTGACAGCTGGCGGAATGCACGGTCCCACGGGTCTGTATACTACCAACCCCGGCCTCGTCACTCTCATCCAGGGACTCGTCTTTCCCCCCGGCCTGATCCTCGTCGTACTTTCAGGTACGAAGAAATCCAACTGCCCATCTTGGGCGCGAGTCACACACTAGTTTGGGCGTTCTTGCAAATGTTTGGAGCAAATCCCTAGTTCTGATGTTCAGAGGTCGCTGTTCTTACATGGGAAACCCGTGACACCTATGGAATTGTATCTTGCATCCAGGGCCGATCGAAAGGAAGTTCCTGCTACTGTTTCTAGCTTTTGCGCGGTTACGAATTTAGAGGGGGAACGTCTTACCTGGTGACGTGCCAACTGCCTCCGCGGGGCGCATTTGACTGCGCTTAGCATCAATACAGAATCCTCGACCTTCAACGAAGCGTGGATCAGAAAGCTCCTTGAGTTGACGGACAAGAGCCTCGCCGTCGCTTTGCTTCAGGCTCGAGGCCCTGTCACGGCCAACCTTTGTACAGATTAAGATTACCCTCAAGGTGGCTCTGACTTTTTTGTGGTGCTTGATCGGCAAGCTGATCCGGGTGCAGGATTGACCTCATTCTCATCCGAGACTTACACCTGTGTAGGGCTATCCTGAAAGCGAACTCAGACTTCTTGTCATGACCAGGGTGAAAGATTGTCCCGTGCAGGCTCGGACCTATTCACATCCAACATCTTCTTCTTCACGGCGGGTCTGCTGGAGGGCAGGGTGAAATGGCACATGGCGCTGCGCAGCTGGACCTGGAGCTGGTTCTCCAACCTCATTGGCAGCCTTACGATCGTCTACTTCGCGCACTGGGCGGGCATTCGTGAGTCTCGGACGTCCGTTTTGACATTTTCAGTTTGCATTGGATGGAACCGCGGGTATTTTCCGAGTCACAAGTTGTCTACTTCGCACCCGGGGGACGAGCAGTCCTAATATTCGTCCGTATGAAAGGGTTCTGTGCGCTAAATTCAATGGAAGTTCCGTCCACTTTTACAGCTTCCTTTTCGGGCCCTCGGCGAGCAATCGTAAGGACCGTTCATTTTGACATTCTTTGTGCTTTAAATAGAGAACCTGCAAACTCATAAGTTCCGTCCGTTTCACCATCTCGTGTACTTCGATCTCGAGCGAGCAACTGTTAGCTTCGTCCGCTTCACGGCGTCATTCAATCTGAAGGAGGACATACTTCAAGTCGAATCTGTATGTTCGAAGCTGTCAATTGACGTCATGGTATCACGGAAGATTAGGAAGACTGAATATCATCCAACATTTTCCAACGTTTGCGCCGAGTTTCGGAGCATGTTCCGAATGTAGGGGTCTTAGACCGATCTCTGCTTTTCTCAGGTGCGTCTGCGTGTGGCTCTACTGTCGAAAGCAGCAGCAATCAGCTGCGGCCGAAGTAAGATGAGACATGCCCACTTGCCATTCTGAGGGATTGAAACGTGGCCTCTTTCCCGTGCAGTGGGCGAACCGGGGTCCACCAACTCCGTCATCGCGTTCGCGAAAACTCTGGCCGTTACCAAAACCCATCTCCCGTGGCACGGCGCAGTGGTCCGGGGCATGATGTGCAACTGGCTCGTCTGCATGGGTGAGCTAACCAGCTAGCAAGTGTCGAACCCGCGCTTGCGGCTTGAGGCCCGTGAGTCTGTTTTGAACACTAGGCTCTGTTCAGATCAATCAGGGTTCGGAATAAACCTCCATGTAAAGGGGAAGTTATGGTTCGGAGGAAGATTTTGATTATGGGCAAATCTAGGTCGACATCCTCGTGCAGAATGACAGGCGTGGCAAAAAGAGACCAAAAAGCAACCAGAAGTTTCCTGCTTGTGCCACCAAAAAGGCTCGGACCTTTGACGTGTCAAGGCTGTTTTAGGTTGTTTTTTCAAGGGTTGTTTTGGCGTCAAAAGTTTCGAACCCTTAACCAATTGTCTTGGTTCCAATCGCAGCCGGCGCGACTCGTGCACGGTTGATTTCAACTTACGGTTGTCACTGGCACACGTAGCTTGATTTTGTAGCCATCTTGAAAGCCGTTTCGTGCCTTAGACGCTCTTCCTCAGCTGACGTCACTATCCTGTCTCTCCTGCAGCCATCTGGCAGGGCATGGCGGCGACTGACGTCATCGGCAAGATCTTTGGCATCTACCTCCCGGTCGCGTACTTCATTATCGGCGGCTTTGAGCATTGCGTCGCCAACCAGTACCTCCTCTACCAGGTAACCACATTTAACCGGCAGTTTAACTAGCCGTTAACCAGACCTTGAAACCAGAGCGCTGCATCCCGAGGTACCTCCTCTATCAGGTATTAAGCATCTAAGGAGCCACCTTAACCAGCCCTTAAAGATCGAGCTTGACCACCTGCTCAACCCAAACGTTTCGACCACAAAAACGGGCAGTTTAACCAGGCGTTAACCAGTGAGCTTGACCACCTGTGTCAGTTAGACAGGGTCCATTTTGGTGCTATAAGAGCGGCAGCTACGTTGTGCTTCACGCCATCCAGTCCCTTTTCTGGGCCCACATAACGTGCAGGAAAGTAACACGTGCTGGCTTTCTAAAGTTCTCGTTTGATCGATTGAGAATTATCTGCTTATATTTGCCCGCTCGACGGCTCACCTCCTTCAAAAACCGCGGTCTCAAAGCCTGCTAATCAGGCGCGAAGTGGTGTGCTGAACCGGATCGACGAAGCGGACACGAAGAGCGCCAACGAAGCGGAAGTGGCGCGCCCAAAGAAAAACACTTAAGACGATTATCAGACGGCTAACCAGAGCAGCTTCGCTTTGAAGTCGCTCGACATCAGGACGTGATGTAAAAGAGGACCATTATCAGAAACGAATAGTCTTGATCCATCCAATTTTTTCCATTTCTTCTTCGATTTCACGTGTTACCAGTGTTCCGATACGCCCACTTCAAAGAGGCCCTCGTTTGTTTTTCTCCAGGGCCTTGTCGCGGGCGCCCCCGTGTCCGTCGACCGCACGATCACGCACAACCTCATCCCGAGCACGATTGGGTGCATGGTGGGCGGCATCTGCTTCGTCGCCTTCGCTTCCTGATACGCGCCAAATTTCAAACGCTGACCATAAACCATGAACTTTGAATTGCAAACGAGAAACGATTGTCGCTTGGAGAACACTTTGGCGGAATCGGTTGGACGTCTGGAGCGAGGAATGAGGAGAGTTGAGTTCCGTCCAGTTTTTCTTGCGGACAAGTTCGAATCCAAAAGCTCCCAAGTGTGATTCTGGTTCGAACCTCAGGCTCGCATTCTTGTGGGCTGGCGTCGTAGCTGAGATACACAATCTTTGATTGTCTCATCAGCGTTGTCGGTCAGGAGTCTATATTGGTTTTCCGATTCTTCCAAATTGAACCTGAAAATCTGAAGGAAAACTTCTGGACCATAGGTGGAGCTATGGCCAGCGCCAACTGCCTTATCGCAAGCGCTTCGAGAAGTACCCATTCTAGTTTCGGCGTCCACAAATGGGAGGCCGGTCATCACACCCGCAGCATCCGGATCCGGCGGAACGAGAGTATGCTTCATTGTAGACCGGACAATGGCTCCAAGCCCATTGCAATCAGTCCCCAAGATTCGAGTTGAAAGCTGGTCATTTATTTCGCTGTTGAGATCAGTCAAACAATTGGGGCTGTCCGGGTTTGGTGCCCATTTTGAGCAAAGCGGTTTACGAATAGCTCGCTTGTACAATGCCTTCGACCTCGTAGGTAATTTGGTAGCCATTTGCCCGCGTTTGAGACCTGGATTTTAGCATGCGGCATCCGGAAAAAGACACGATCTAGTGGGGTCAAGAGCAGGGTCCTCTGAAGAACCTCAAAAAGAATCACAAATTCACAGATTTACAAATGCCTTGTCGCTTTCGAGCTTGGTTGAGCTTGTAAGATAAGGTCGGAAGGAATTAGGTGTGAAGCGCAAAGCTGTTGCCGTCTGTTGCGCTGCGCGTTGACTTCGAGTCGGTGTGCAAGCTCAATTCCGCTTTGGACACGATCCAACCGACTCGTAAGCTTTTTGTGAAATTGACGACACTGAGAAGCTGACAGATTCTGCTCTAGTACAGCGATCGCCAGACGTTCGGCGGGATCGGCACTACGATTTTAAGTGCAGACTAAGCCTGAGCTTGCAATCTTGCATGAACGAACGTCTCGACGGCCGCTCGTCAGTATCCCTACAAAGTTTTGAAAACCAGCGGCAGAAGTAGCAATGCCATCCATGTTCCTTGTATAGACCACAAGCGGACCTCATGTTCCGGTCAGCTTGTGTATACGTACGTTTATGCTAGCTTCCTAATACTTGCCTATACCTTCCCTTCAGCGTGTCACTGAGGAACAAGGATGGATGCGGAGAACCAATCTAATGCGGCTCCTCTAGACCTTCGTCCGTAGCCGCTGCGGCCGTTACAATCCTACAAGTGCTTTTCTCCGCAGGCAGCAAAGTATATTGTCATGCGGACCAGCTGCACTTCAATGGCCACACTGAGTTATGACTATAAGCTGGTGTTTATATGTGCCCGCTTAGTCCTTCGTTAATTTACTCTGCAGCTGCGGTAACGTCTGAGGCCCGGCTTGCTGGGCGACGGAACTTGCAACCTTGAAATTCAATGAACCCTCGTTTCGTGTTCAAGGATTATAGCACTTGATATGTTGGTTCCCAAGATAGCGCCTTTCTGCTGCATGATGAGGCCGTTCTTAACAACGCGAGTTGAAGTGCTCATCGGAACGGTTCATCAACCATGGATCAGCTTTGGCACCGACTTGAGTCCGCGCACGCACTGATCTTCCCTTTGTAAAGGGGCACCCACATACGTATACCTCCAAATTCTAGTGAACTGCTGTTAACGCCGCCAAACAATTGTTCGTTCTCGTTACTGCCCATTTGTCATCACCTTCAAGACGGAAGCAGAAACACTCCCCATTTATTGCCTTACACGCTTCCTACAGCGAGGGCCAACATGTACTAGGACACCTCGTATGCGTACAACATATACTTTCGTGGAACTTTCTCAGAGCAATATCAAATCGCCGCATTCCGCTCCGCTCCTGAAGGACCTTTTAGGCGACGCCAGGAGGCGGCCGCTCGGCTGTCAATCTGGGCACCTGGCGTTCTTCTCCCCGCTTGTAATGCTGGGGGCGGGCGCCATTAGCGTCCGCCGGTCACTCTCATTTACTCTAGTAGATTCTAAGGCCCAGTCTGTGAGCGGCACACGTGCACGAGTATCATGATCTGGAGCCTAGGTCTGGCTCGGCAACACCTTGGCAACGGCCTGCGACCCTCAGAACGCTTGCCTGGAAGCGATTCCAGTCATGCAGCGAGGTGACCAGTCTCAAGTGCCACGGAAATTGCGTATTGAGTTGAAGCGCAATGCTCATGACGTGGCGCCGATGTTGATGCGGGCAGCTTCTGGCGTAGTTTTGACACATGAGCTTCCGTGAAACCATCAAAAGGACAGGCTGCGATAGCAGGACTCATGGACTCACAATGGTCTGCGCAAGTCGACAAGGTTTCCACTCAGAAAGGAGTCATCACTAATTAGAGGCTGGACTCAGCTTCGAGACGCTGTAATGATTGTAGACCTGAGCTGCAGGGTTTGAGTAAGGGCCCGGCGCAGCCGCAATTGTATCCCTACTAGTCTCTTATATTATTAGTTGGCCCAGTGTAGGCGGCCGCCGCGAAGACCTGGCAAGCTAGGAAAGCACACAGCTAGCTAAGAAAGTGCGCGCAGGTTTGAAGATTGACCTAAAGCAGGAAAAATGACATGGATGACCACATATAGTACATATGGTGCCACCCGGCAGGTCATGGGGAAGGCCGAAGTAAATGCACTTGGGATCTCGTTCACGGTACCGCACTTGACCGGGCGCGGCCGGTGCAAATAGCGAGGGGTTTCTACACGTGAGACCACGTGGTACCACACCGATGTGCCCCGTCCGCGGCCTGAGGGGCGGCCCCGGCGGCGCCTGAGCCCGGCCAGGCTGTCAAAATGTCCCCCTCAAAGCCTTCCAGTCCAGTACATTACAATTTACATTGGCCAGAGCAGGATCTATTGGTACATTGGCACCGGCCTGCTGCGTGAACATTGCAAAACACACTAGAACGCACCCTGTTGAGGTTTGGTCAAATTGTTAGAATTCACGGGAGCCCGCTGCAGAATCAAACCTTGCTTTTGACATATCCAGCTATGGTCTGCGAATGGTGACCACTTCCGCAACGACTTGTGCACATACAAGCTTCGCCCAAGTGGACTATCCCACACGCAGCAGCAGTACTAGCTAGTCGTGCTTCTAAAGGTCCGTCGTCAACTGACAACGCGTTAAGCAGGCCGTAAAGTGCTAGCGGACGTGGCCGCTGTCTATCAAAGCAAAGCTAGGACCGTTTGCCCGGCAATCCCCTTTCTTGCCATTAGATTACTGCTCTTTGCTTTGGGTGCCCACATCTTGAGCTCCAAACAGCGCCTCATACCCTCAGCTTCATCAAGACTCATCGAGGTCTTCTTACAGCTGTCGCAAGCTTAGTACAGAACCGATAAGATGGCGACAGCTGAAAGCTACTATGACAGCTCCACTCGCAGTGGCGCCCAGTATATGAAGGAAGGCACGGCAAAGGCCCCGTATGGGATTGACATTCCACCCACCCCAGGCGACGAGCCGTCCTATTTCCCGCAGAAAGGGACCAATAGGTTTGCAGAGGACAAGTCAGGTGAAGAGACATGCGCACATGATTTCTGTCGTGAAACATTGTTGGTCCCAGGGGGGTTGCAATGCGTCTGGGTCTCCAACTAATGGGCTTTTCGTTGTGCCAGGGGGGCAACAGTTGAGTACCGTCGAAAAGCCGAACTGGTATTCAAAGCTAAGACCCCAAGTTTTCGGACTTCTTGCTCTTGCCAGGGGGCCGTCAAAATGCTTGAGCGAGAATATGTTCCTCCACCCTTTTCCAGACTCTGGCATGTTCAGTTCCCTAGCAGACGACCTTCTGAGAAGAATGGGCTTTCAAAAGGATTCCCTTGCGTCTAATATCTCACGCCTGGATAACTTGGTGCAATGACGGTGCAATCATCATGTAAGGCAAATCTAGCTCATCTGGTCAATGAAGGACTCCGATTGGAACTCAGCAGTCTGTGGACAGCCAAATGAGCTGATGCAAACACTTTGAGCAAGATTTGTATCACATTATATGCGCGGTCGCCATCAGAAGTGCATAAGTTCGTTGAATTAGCCGCCCATGTGGGCACGAATCGAAACTTTTATTCCCTGCGTGGGTCCTCTGCCAATGAAGCACAGGGATCCCTCAGCTCCAATCAATGCTCCCTGAATCTGGCCTACCGTGGGCAATACAAGCCACAGACACAACATTGCTTGAATAGACAACCAGCCTTAGGCACTATGAGTCAGTTAAAGAGAATCTCCTATGCCAACAAGAAGTAAACCTTCCAATAGCTTTGTGTGCCACCTGAATGGAAACCTTCGTCTCAGCGCAGGCCCCCTCCTGGCCAAACACAGAGACCCCCAGTTCCTGACAAACAACCCCTACGAAGTCGTCAAGGCCGCAGCCGATTTGGCACTAACGAAGGCAAACACCCCTCTCTCGTCGCTGTTCGTTGGAGGGTTCATGTCGGGGGCTTACCTGGGCTTTGGGGGGCTGATCATGACGGTCGTTGGTAAGTCCCGACGGCCCTTTTTATCCTGCTGAAGAGTCCAGAAACTGTTAGAAGTATTTGCGCACTGCCACTCGGGTTACACTGGCGCC